GGGGGCCATGGGCCTGTTACTCCATTTTTCTCTTCATTCCCTCAAAGCATCTGCTGCTAACCAGAAAGATAAGGAGACTCGGACTGCCCTTGACTAAGATATAACATAGAAATAGAATGCTTTCAGTTGGAGTGGACCTGCAGTGATCATCTAGTCCATGGCAGGCATTTCTGTCTTACGCATTTCAGGAAGGTTCTTTGGTAAACCCATCTTGGTGCAGTCTTTACCTGTCCCTACAAGATGATTTTTCCCCTCTTCTACTCTCCTGAGGCTCCTCAGGTGATGTGTGTCCTGTCCAGCCAAGGACATTGTATCTGAGCTGTCTACACCATCCTTTTGCTTGCACATTCACACCTTGAGCCTGTGGCTGTGAAGACAGTATCTGCAGCAGTCAGTGGAGCAGAGAGCACAGCTCTGCTGAGGTCCACAAGCAGCCAGGGATATGCACTTGGTCCTGTTTCCCCCTTAATATTACACTAGTTTATCTTTTTGGGAGGGAGGTGTGCCCCAAAGTAAAAGCACTATTATTTTTTTTTTTAAGGTGCAAGCTGAATAGCCCAGGTGTGTCACAGCTCTACCGACTTCTCTCCTAAAAGTTGTAACTAAGGAGTTATTCCACCTCCTTCTCCTGTTCTGATGATCATTCTGGAAGGGGATGGAAAACAGAAGGATTTTGTATGCTTGAATGAGAAAACTGACATAAGGTGGTGTGTACCAGAGCTAATCTATAATTCATCATGATCACTAAAGGCTTTTAGAGAGCAGAGTAGAGAGAGGCAAGGGAGTCCTGACAAATGGCATAAAGACCCCGCACATGGATGTAGCCAGTGAGGGCTGTCACTTCTGATGAGCATGGGCAGGCATTACAGGGCCACGGGGGAAAGCTGGGCTCCTGGTACCTTCTGACGAGGCGAGGCTGCATTTGCAGATGACTAGAAGCAACTCTGGTACTGACATCTAATTATTTCCAGCTTTATTGTTTGCTTTCTGGTTGCTGCTAATGGACCAGGCCCAAATTCCTTTGTGTGTTACAGCCTTGGGGACCTCTGTCAGCTCCTGCATCTGGAGGAGGATGTCCAGGAGGACTGACTGCTTACTGTTGGCTGGTTAAGACCAGCAAGGCTAACCTCTAACAGCTATCAGGGAGAGGAGAGCTCGGACCCCAGTCTGCTGGTACTAGCTTTCTATTGCTGGATGTGGCTGGATCATTGCAGCCTGCTGCAGAGTTGTCAGCAAGATAGGCATCAGCCTGAAAGCAGCATTCCCAGTTACCTCATATAGCTGGCATTGCTGCAGCACTGCCCAGACTGACTCTAGGGGTGCTTACAAAAGGGAATCATTGGCCAGCATTTTGTGGTAATGCAGAAGGTGGCTTGGGGGCCAGATACCTTCCCAGAGGAGAGGTGATCTGCTTCTGTGCTGCTCCTTGGGTCTGTTCAGCTCTATAGGCACATTCCTAACCAGGTCTGTCTTGTCCTGCACAGGCTGTCTGGAGCAGGTGTATCCCTTATCTCTTATCTCTTATCTGCATCCCTGTGAAGCAGATAAGGAAGAATGGCAGTTCCCCAGATGAGAGGGCTTGTCTGGACACAGCAGGGCTCTCAGCAGGAAGGCAGCTTCTCCCTTGTGCTGGGTATTGCATAGCTCTAGCCACTCCCTTCCCAAATGAGAAGGACGCAGCCTGTGCCACTCCAGCAAGGGCCAGTGAAGCAAGGGAAGCTCTTGGCTCTCTGCTCAGCACTGGGGAGGTTACACCTCAAAACTGTCTAGCTTGGGCCTCCCCCCACCTCAAGAGGGATGCTTGGGGAGGGTCTGTTTGGGGCTTCTGGGTTGCTCAGGGCTGGGGACAGAGGGTCTGGGAGAAGAGTGGGGAGCTGGGACAGCTTTGTGCAGTGAAGACACAGGTACAGCGATGTGAAAGCCAGTTAGAAAGATGATGATCTTAAGGTCCTTTCCAACCCGAACTATTCTATGATTCTATGATGTGTTCAAACTCTTCTTGGCAGCCATTCCATATGACATAATAGGGGAACATGGGAAGTTTGGCTTGGATATTAGGAAGAAAGAAGCTGGTGGGGAGGTGTCTCCATCCGTGGAGATTTCATGCATCACCCAGACAAGACAAGGCTGCCAAGACCTCATTGGCAGCAGTTCTGTTGCAAGAGAGAGGTTGGATCAGAGGCCTCCGACAGCCCCTTTTACCAATGTGCTGATGTGGGTGTGAGCCCCAGTTGCTTGCTGTAAGAGCAGGTCTCCTTGTTTCTTGCTTTCTGCTGCTTTGGCTTGCAAGTGTGTGCAGCAGCCTCTGTGTTACCCAGCAGCCCAGGAAAAAACACCCATGACTCCAAAAACCCATCAGCACAACATGTGGTTGGGACCCACATGTTGGTGTCTACCAGCCTTGTGCACTGGACACAGTCTAGAGTGCAAGCACAGCAGGGGAAAAGTATGGTTAAGGCAGGAGGCTGTTCTTTCATGAAGTTAATTTTTTTACTATACCTGCACTTCTGGGCTTACATCCAAGGCCTGAAGTACTTGTGTGATTTCTTCCTGCCTCCATCAGTTGTGTTCTCTATTCCCTCCTGAGCTAGTTATTAATTATGGAGACTGCAGAGATGAAGTCCAGGCTCTACTAATGGTTGACTTCCTTGTGTTTTAGAAGAAGCATTTCAGAGATGTGCTAATGATATTTCTTCACTTTGCTTTTCAAGCTCCACTATCATTTTGGTTTCTAGCCTGTGTGTGGCAGAGAGGCAGACCATGGTGTTTAAATGTTGGCTGAAGCCCAGCTCTCCAGGCAGCCTGCAGTTGCAGGGCACACATCTGTGGCACCCTCCTCATCTCCCTGGATTGAAATATCTCCATGATGCAGTTATCTCCATCCTTCCCAGGGCAGTGGGGTTGGCCAGTGCTTTAGCTGCATGCTTTTCTGTGCACCTGGAGTCTTTTTGTGCTAGCAAGGACCGGGTAGCTTTGCCTAGCAGCATTTGGGCAGCAGAGTGACCCTAGTTGGCTGATGCCTCTCAGTTTCCTCAAGCTTTGAGAACTGGGGAGAAAATCCAAGGTGAGTGCTGCACCCTCACCCCAGCTGTCATCACAAAGCTATACCTCTTTGCTCTTAGCCACCAGCTTCCCTCCCAGCCTGTGCCTCAGCCTCTAAAGCTGCCTGGCCAAACCCCAGTACTCTCAGCTTTCCTCTCCTAGCCTTGTTATTCCTTTTCCCCTTCTCCCAAGGAGGCCTGCAGGAGCCAGTGCTGGGCTGGCTCCTCCTCCCTGCCCCATCCGAGCTGTGGGGACTGCTGGCCAGCCTCGGCGCCGGCTCTGTCTGCCCTTTGCTTTCCCTGCCCTGGCTGGCCCATCTCCATACCCTCATCCCTGCCTTTGCTGCTGCCTGCTCCCCTGTACAGTCCTCTGGGAGACACAGCTCTTCTCCTCCTGTCTTGTTCCCATTCTTCCACTGATGGGTTGTGTCTATCCATTGTGGGGAGTTAGCGCTTGTTCTTTTCTCCACAGGCCCTGGCAGCCTGTTCCCTGCCTTCACCATTGCTTCCAGCCTGCTGCTGTCAGTGGGCAGCCTCAGGGTAGAGATGCAGGGATGTAGAGATGCATAGGAAGGAGCTGCCTGCATTCCCCCTGCCCAAGTGTAGCCTTAGTGTTAGGGGAATAGGGAGAGAAAGACTTGGAAACAGTGGAATGCAAAATATTCCCATTTTAGTTTTTCCAGTGCTGCCCATTCGTGCCCCCCAGCCCGGAACATCCCTGGTATTGTGTGCCAGTTCTGGGCCGGGAGTCCCAGATCTTGTTTTGCAATCTTCTGGTGTTGGCTAGCAGCTTGGGCCTTCTTGTAAGCGCCCTGACGGTCATGGGGAAGGAATGTTCCCCCAGCCGCATGGGGAAAGGTCACCATGGGCAAAGGGGATGTTGGGACCAGGCGAGCATGCTCCCTTGCTTTCCATCGCCAGTGAGGGCAACACTGATCAGCACGAAGCTGAAAACATTCTGGCCTTAAAGAAAAGGTTCAGGAGGTTAAATATTTTGGGGAAGGCCCCACTTCCTTTTACAGGGCAGATCTCCCAGCACATACTGTGCCCAGGCAAAGTCCAGGAGGACATTTCCCTGTGAGTTTCATTGCCTTTTTAGCGATGGAGAATGTTTGCTGTTGAATCTGCATCTCCTTGTCTCGCTGAAGCAGTGCCCAGGACAGTGTTGTTCTGAATAGTAGCTGGGCTGAGTACTCTCTTCCCTTCCCATCCCAGGCCTGCCAACAAACCTCTCCCCTGAACTCAACTCGGAAAGAAAGCTGTGACTTGCGGTGGCCACGGAAGGATTAGCATCCAACATTAAGGGCTTAACTCTTCATCCCTGCCAGCGGGGGTTTCAAATAACACCACTGTGCCTTTCACTCTCAGCGAGTTTGTACCCTGCTTTAATAACATCCTTTACACACTATTCTCTGGGCTGGGTTTTCTAAGCTGGAGCTTACTCCTGGTGCTTTGCTTTCAGAGTCTGGCATGTTGGCTGAGGCTGGTGGCATTGAGTGGGGTGAGAGCAGAGTGGAGAAAGGAGGAGGAATTCTAGGTTGGCCTCAGGAACCAAGTTTGTCAGAATTCTCAGCATGTTAAATAAAAAAAAGATAATCTGGCCCTTGGTCTCTAGGTTATGTTTGCCTCTGCTGTAGCTGAGCTCATGGAAAAATGCAGCTTAGCTCCTGCGCTCAGTGCCAAGATTAGTAGGTTTAAAAACTAACCGATAACATCTCTGTACGTTTTGAATAATTTCTTTTAAGCCTGATGATCCTTCCAGCCTGGATGTTGGAGCTTTCCTGGAGATCCACGTGAGCCAAGCAGGACAACAGTATCAGCCCTGAAAAAAGTCACCGTGTCACCTTCAAATACCCAGAGGAAGGAGGCTGCTGTTCCCCAAAGCCCTGAAGGGTGTGTGCTGGGATCCTTCTGCCAGTTCCCAACCAGATACACAGCACACAACAGATGCTCTGCACGTAACTTATAATAATCACTGGTTTTATTTATTAAAAAATTACAATAGAAAAGTACCTTTAAACACATTTCCAAAAGCGGAGTAGACAATGTGGATGCTTCCCTCCTCTCCACAAGACAAAGTACAGGAAATAGTTTGCTAAAAGACTTAGTCCATTGCTTGGAAACGCTGATACCATTCCTTTTAGAGCCACTCAGGGGTTTGTCTTGGAATTGATTTCTTCTCACATTGCCTGTATCAGTGCCATTTTTTTACGGAAGACCCCAACAGGACAGTTTCCCATCGCACTGCTTCACCCAACACCCTGCCCCAGCTCCAGCAGCCGAAATCTCAGCTTACCCACAGAATAAAAGGAAGGAGGAAGAAAAAGGTTATGATGTATTTAACAAGGCCATGGGTACCCCATGTCTTCAGTGCAGCTGGGAAACTGATTATGGCAAAGCCTGGGCAACGGCTGAGCTCAGCATGCCCCGCAGTGAGGATGGGGTTGGGGGGAGAGGCAATGGAAGAAGTTTTGCACCTCTTTTTGCAAGAAACCGAAATCTCTTCGAGGTTTTGGTTTGCTTTGCTCTTCCCAAATTTCTCCTGGAGCAAGGAGAGGGAGAGACTGGTATGTCAAGCGGTCTCTTGCCCGTCAGCTCGCTCAGGACTCGTGCCCAGCCTCGAGTAAGCTGGCAAACCAGTGGTCTGTCGTTTGTTTTTTCTCATACAGCAGTTTAGGGTGCCTATAACAACTTCAAGCAGTCATGGCAGGAAGAGGAGGAAGAGGCAAATTGTCACCTTGCTACATATGTGGGCTATCTCTGCCCATCCCTGATCTGAGCCCGTTGTACCGTGCTGAAGCTTTGCACAGCAAGCTATTAACGTAGACCTAAGGTAAAAAGCAAAATCACCATAAGAAAGTTTCTGATTGTCCTGTCTGGTTGTCATTTGGTACAACTGGGAAGAAAACAGTAATACTGTCAGTGTCCGCAGATGTCTTGCCGATGCAGCCGGAGCGCAATTCCTGTGCCAGAGGGAGCACAATTCCTACACACCCAAATTGTGCATCTTGACATCTGCATGCACGTGAGCATCATGCCTTTGACATGCAATTGACGGGGCAGGGGGATACAGACTCCTACTGACACACATTCAAAAGTCAAGCACAAAACCTGTGGTCTGACCCAGTGTAAGATTGTTCTGTTTAGGAGGTTTGGTACAAAAATACTTGCTCTTGTTTTGCCCTTTTTTTTTTTTTTGATTTTTTTTTCAGTCTGCTTTCCTATGGTTCTGTTTGAAGACTTTTCAAACACTACAGCAATGCCTGTCAAACCATGCTTTCAGAAGTAACACACTCTTTCTCACAAATACACAGTGTAAAAGAAGAAAATATTATTACTAGGTATGCTTTTTCATCTTTCTTCTAGGAGAGCAGATGTGTGATAGAGGCTGTGGGAAAGTCTTGGAGGAATCCAAACTTGTGTGAGGTTTTTTGTTTGTGGTTTTTCAAGCCTGTAACAACAGAGAGGTGTTAAAAAAAGGTAGCTGCCATCCTGGGCTGAGGCAAAGTGAAGAAAAGGGATGTGGTTAATCTTTTTTCCCTTGTGGGGAAGCTCCCGTGCTGCAGCATAGAGGGAGGATTGTTTTGGAAATGGGGTGAAGAAGGGAGAGCAGCTACAGAGACAGTTGTTTAACCCGGAAAGGGCAAGATGGGAAATGCCTGCAGGGAGAGCCCAGGCTGTCAGCACCCTGGGGTCAGGCAGAGGGAAAGTACGGCCCTGATTGTTCTCCTGTAGCCCCTGGGGTTTTAACCAGGGAGGCACCAGCTGGGAAGCTGAGAGTTAAGTTGGAACTGAATTTGCACTTAAGAGGAATTCAGTCTGTGTTGATCCAAGGCAGGAAGTGAACACCGCAGCGAGATGAGATTACTGGGGGGTAATTCAAAGCCGAGAAGCATTCCTCAGCTGTTGAAACTCTCACCCCAGATAACAGCGATAAATGCAGGAACGACAGAGCATGGATCGCTGGATTGGTGCTGGAGGTGTCCTGCCACAGGGGGAGGAGGGGTCAATCCCAGGAATTGTCACCTCGCTGCCTGTTCCCTCGGGGACACTACACTGGCTTCCTTGCCCCTCTACCCCTTCCCCCTGGGCCACCTCCCCCAGGCACAGCCCCGCTGTACTGCAGCCTTACCAGCACACTGTGGTTTTGCAGAGAGCACGCCAACCCAGTAGCCACCTTGGAAGACTCCATTAATACCCACAAGACTGACTGTAGGCCACCATCACACACCTGAGACCTGCGAGAGGACACGGCGTAGGGTCAGGGACCAAGGTCAGTGTGCCGTGGGGAGAGGTTGTTCGGCAGTGGCCAGTGTCTACACTTCCTAAGGGGGTAGTTTGGAGCTTAAACCTGCCCTGATAGGCTCCACATGGTATATCTGGATGCTGAAGAGGGACTCTTCATGAGGGACTGCAGCAATAGGACAGGGGGTGATGGGTTCAAACTTCCAGTTTGGTTTAGTTTAGCTATAAGGAAGAAGTTCTTTACTGTGAGGGTGGTGAGGCCCTGGCACAGGCTACCCAAAGAAGTTGTGAATGCCCCATCCCTGCCAGTGTTCAAGGCCAGGCTGGACAGAGCCCTGGGTGACATGGTCTAGGGTGAGGTGTTCCTGCCCATGGCAAGGGGGTTGGAACTGGATGATCTTAAGGTCCTTTCCAACCCACACCATTCTGTGATTCTATATGGGACGCAGGCAGGAAAGTCTGAGCAGCAAAACTGTTTGCTGGGCTGTGCCATAGCCCTTCCTGGCTGGTGGAGAAGGCAGAGAACCATGTGGTCCCTGACCCTCCATCCTCGCAACCCATTTTGGCTACCAGGGTTGCTGCAGGCAGATGGACCTTTTTGACGGATTCACTCATCTCCTCTTCCTAAATACAGCTTTGCTTAGATTTTAGCTGGAAGCACTGGCACAGGAGGCTTCCCGCAGGCTCATGGGAGCAAGCGATACTCAGCATCAATCGAGCCTCTTCCACCTTTTCCCCCTCTTCCATTTGAATCACTTTTGTTTATTTAGCCACAAAAGGCTGAGTTATTTGCAGAGCATATTTCACAAGGCTTTTGCCATCCACGGTGGTTCCAGGTGTAATCAAACCATCCTCCTACCTCCCTGGTAACCACACTGGGGCTTCCAGGAGAGTTTTCATTAAGGCTTTATGAGATGTTCACCAGCTCTGAGCTGCTGGAGACCGCGAGAGTCGCAGCAGGGGGCAGGACAGGAGAGCACTCACCCGGCATTCAGCAGAACTGACGGGACTTCCAGCCCTGAGAACCAGCCTCGGAGGGAGGGAGCCAGCGCATCTGCCAAGACAAGAGGGGCAACAAGGTGAGAAGAGTGGTGGCCACACACCCTGGCATGAAGCTCCTATGGGTTCCCTTTTCCCAGCCTTCCCCAAGGAGGTCAAAACACACACAGTACATCCCAGCTCTGGTTGGGATGATGACACTGGCTGGGGCTGAATGCAGCCTGTGGCATCGCTGCTTGCAGTAGGACCAAGTGGGGATAGTCTCAGCATCTAACATCAATTCTCAGCATGGATTTTCCCAGCAGCTCTTGGAGCCTTCTTACATCTCCATTTCCTTTGCTGGACATTTCACCAGCTTCCTGAGCAGCACAGGTGCTGCCTGTTAGTGGTTATTTGACAAGGCAAGTACGTCACTGCAATAATATTTACCGCCGCTCTTCCTACAAACAGCAAGGCCTGAAAACCTGGAGTTTCATCCAAAGGCTGAGGATGGTTTGTACATGGAGCGCTTTTCCTCGCCCTCCTGCTCAAACCAGCCCCCGGCTGTCTCTGGCTCCGGCGATGGTGGCTCCGGATAACCCGGTTCAAGACTTTTGGATGTGGCTTATCCGGCAAATCAGTTTCCATGTGCTCATTTCCTCCTGCTCACCGCCAAGCTGCAGCTGAGGAGTGCAAGCTGGGATAATGTCCAGCATGGCTGCTGGGGAGGCAGCTTCTGTTCCCCACTCCATGGCAAGCATCTCTTCCCAGCATCCCTGTGATGCCACTACAGGAAACATTCCAAAGGCTGGCACTGCAAAGAAATCCTCCACCGCCTCCATTTCTAGTTCTCCTTTTCTCCGCTAGGTAGGTACTTAATTTTAACATCCACGTGCTGCCGTCGGGGCAGCCAACAGAAAAGCACTTGTCAATAAAAGATGGGTCCTCCATTTGCAACTCACTTTCCCTCTCCTCAGGGTTGCTTTGCTTCACACCTTGCATCCAGCAAGCTGCATCCCGGCGATGCTCAAGGGAGCGGATGGGTTGTTAGGTACTGGGAGTGGTGGGGATGGATCAAGTCCTGCCCCAGCAAGCATCCCCAATCCCTCCCTCCGCACCTGGTGGGAGTGAAGGGAGGAAAGCAGAGAGGGGTGTTTGGGTGCCATCCCTAAGTCTCAGTGAGGAGGGGTGAGTGCCTGTAAGCTGGGCAGAGGTTAGTGGTGCAGCGAGCACCCAGGAGAAGGGGAGGCCTGTGAGGGTGAGTGCAGTGGTGGCGGATGGGTCTGAATTACCTGGGCGTGCAGCGAAGCGGGATAGGTGAAAGCAGGAGGAGGTAGAGCAGGTGCTAACTCCGCTGGGTACAGGGGGTACGGCCCCCACACTTCAGGGCTACTGGGGTAAAGTGCAGGCACTGTGAGCTCATCTGCAAGAAAAGAAGAAGGAGAGTTAATGGCAGGCACCAGGACGCGGCCTCCACCATGCCACATGATAGAAAAAACAGCAGAGCTGTTGGCTTTCTCCCCCCAAAGCAGGCAAAAGCAGGAGCAGAGCCTCCTCTGGAGAAGCATGACGTGATGGTGCTGCTGGCAAGAGCTGACCACAAAGCCAACGCCAAATTCGCCCACTGGGAAATTGCAGGGTTTGCCCAGTGGCAAGTGATACTACAGCGCTCGGTGCATCATCTCCATGTTTATTTACCCCAGGAATCGAGTGTCAGTGGGTGCGGAGGAGAGTGTGCAGCTCACAGCCATGCACAGCAGCGAGGCGAGGAACTGGTATCCACACAAGAAATACTTTTTCAGTAGCAGAAACGGGTATGGCGTGTTCACAGCAAGACATCATCGAGGCTTCTGTGGAGACCCAGATACTCCCTGGTACTGTGAAGCAGCACCGGGAGCTCATCCCATTTCTGTGCACCATTCAGAGCCGGCTGTTGCATGTCCCAGTGTTTGGGGACTCACGGCCACCAGCCAGCACGTGCCACCATGCTTGCAGCAAACAGGCACTGCGGCTTCCGATGGGACCTAGTGTTCCCATCACCACCCCCCTCCAGCATCCCTGCTCCCTCCAGCATCCTGCTACATCCACCTGGGATGTCTGCCTGACATTGAATTGCCTGAATAAGGCATTTTCCCTGAGGAAGATGAGGATGGGGACAACCCCTGGCAACCTGCTGGCACTGCCACGGTGGCAGGCTGGGGGGACATGGCATGGGGCTCCCTCAGGGGAGCTGGGGCTGGTACTTACAGGTCTCCCGGGTGATGAACTGAGGTATGGCAGTGGGGAGTGGCGTGCTGGGGTTTGGGGTGCCCACCAGCTTGCTCTTGGCCATCTTGGTGTTGGCCTTGGCAAACTCCAGCCGCAGCGTCTGGGGGATCTCGGGGTCGAAGCGGATGCCCTGCGGGAGCGGAGAGGCATGGTGGGTCAGGTGAACACCAGCCCCGCAGCAAAAACAACTCCCCAGTACTGGATTTCTTTTTTTCTTTTCCACTTCCAGCCTTGAAATGAGCTCATCTGCCAGGCCCCGAGGCAGCTCGCATTCCTCCAGCATCTTTAGCATCGGAACCATATTTGGCAGTCAGCGTCCTGCGCTCTTATCCAGAGGGATTAACAGAGCCAAAAAAAAGTCTTACGTTGAAAATGAAGCCAAGGAAGAAAAAAAAAAAACAACCCAAACCAAAACCCCAGGGGGACTGGAGAACCAGCTCTGCACACTTCTGCCCGTGACTCTTTTCAGGAGGTTTAATTCTGCAGAGGTAGGAGGCAGCCGCTAAAGTGAAATTTGCTTTTCCTTTTGCAGCTTTAGCTGGGATTTTTCCCACTGAAACAACAGGAGAGGCTGGGAAAGGCGTCTCTCTCAGATTCATATCTAAGACTCTAATCCTCAGGCTTGGCCTTGGGATGCAGCCCCCTGGGAGGATGCAGATGAGAAGCAACCCATGGGGATTAGCTGGAGGGATAGGGATGCGGTAGGACCAGCCAGTACAGGAGATGCACATTCCAGGGATGGAGGAATCTGGAGAGTATCCAGGGATGGGGAGATGGAGGGGAAAATCCTGGATACATGGAGCATCCAGGGGCACTCACATTCAGTGCATTCTTCGCTGCCTCTGCTTCGGAGCGGCTGTCAAAGCTGACAAAGCCCACGGGCTGTGGAGGAAGAACAGGGACCATCGGTGAGGCTGATAGGGAGCAGAGGAGGAGCCCCTCACCCCAGAGACCGGTGGTGCATGGCATGGGATGCTCACCCCACTTTAAGTGGCTCCTACCTGCTTGGAGGTGAGTTTGATGAGGGACCCTTCGTATCCCTGCAAGAATAAAAAAGGGTGGTTGGTGGAGATCCCCACTTTTCAGCTGCCCTTTGGAGAGGGAAACCTCCTGTATCCATCACCCAGCAGCCCTACAGCTTTGGGGCATCAGGTAGGCACAGAGGGGAGCTTGCCACCAGCACAGGGACTCACCGCTGCTGGATTTTTGTAAGGATGTGGATGCCTGATGCTACTGTCCTTTGTGTTTGAAAAGAGCTAGTGTCTGAGATATAGGTCTCGCAGGGTGAAGAGACTGGAGGTCTGCAGCCAACAGTCTTCTGCTAAATGGGGTGTGAGTCAATGTGCAATTAAACCCCAAAGAGCCTGATGCCATTTTCCTGTGGTTTATAGAGTCACAGAATCACAGAATGGTTTGGGTTGGAAGGCACCTTAAAGCTCATCCAGTTCCAAGCCCCCGCCATGGGCAGGGACACCTTCCACTAGACCAGGGTTGCTCCAAGCTCTGTCCAACCTGGCTTTGAGCACTGCCAGGGATGAGGCAGCCACAGCTTCTCTGGGCAACCTGTGCCAGGGCTTCACCACCCTCACAGTTTAAAGCCATTCCCCCTTGTCCTATCTCTACATGCCCTTGTAAAAAGGTCCTCTCCAGATTGCTTGCCGGCTCCTTTAGGTATTGGAAGGCTGCTCAGAAAGGTCCACTGTGGTAACAGATCTGAGCCACTGCCTGAGTTTTCATGCCTTCTATTGGGGAAAAAAAGGTGCAGAAACTTGTTTCTGTGAATAAAATCACAAAATTAGATATATTCTGGAAGAAACACCAGCAGGTTTCCAGATCCCACCAAGGCTGGCGAGGTCATGGGAGGTGCAGGGGGCCTGCCCTGTGCTTCATCCCCCTTCTCCCCTCCCCGGTCTGGTACCTTAAAGGGCCTGAAGAGCAGGTAAAGTTCCCGGGGCTTAATGTCCAGAGGCAACCCACTAACGAAGAGCGTCCTCACCTAGAAGAAAAGAAAAGGAGGTTCCTGGTGATCATCCCTCATCCCCAACATGGGAATACCCCATGCATCCCACAGCCTCTGGTGGTGGCACTCCAGAACGATGCCAGTCCAAGGGGAATCTCGTGGGCAGCTAGAATCCTTAATCCACACTTGGGGGATGTGGCATTTTTGGGAAAGGTATCCCCATACTTCATGGGACCATGAAGTAAGCTGGTAAGACACCATGGAAAGGTAACCAAGACCTGTCCTCACCACACTGAGTTCCCTCTGGGTCAAAAAGCATCCTGGACCCTTCTTACCCAGGTCTGGCAAACAGGATCTCTCCTGGCCTCCCCAGCAGAGCCCTCACTCTGCAGCCAATGCCTATTGTCTCTGCTTAATTGCAGCAGCTCATGAAGGACTTGGGAGAAGCAAAACCCAACTCTTCCTCCTGGACCACTGGCCCTGTTTTAGAGGGAGCTGTTTTTAAGCAGCTTGTCCCTGGTTTATAAAAGTCACTTTTTTAAGGGGGTTTAACTCTCAGGAACAGGCAAACCCCACCTGGGGAACGACCCGTGCCATGATGGTTTTGCTTTAGAACCAGCTCCTAACCGGGGGAGCAGTGTGAAGCAGGAGACCAACAGTTGGATCTACTGCCAGTCCCCTTCTCCTCATTCCCAAAAATCTCATCCAAACACTTGGATGGCTGGCAGGAGCCTAGGGCTGAGAACAGCCCCAACTATCCTCACCTGAGACCCTCACCCTAGGGCTGTATTTAGCCTCAGATCATGTTGGGGATGAGTAGCAGCTTGGTCTCAGCCCTGCTGTGTCCCCATCCACCATCCCTGCTCTTGTTGAGGCACCTGGACATGGATCTCACATCCCTGCCTTGCAATCCCTATCATTTCCAGTGCTCCTGTAGCACCTTACTAGGAGGTTATCTGGGGGATTGAATGGCCGTAGCTTATTTTGGACAGCCAATACCTTGAAAGAGCTCATCCCAAGGGGCTAAATCACAGTCGTGTATCGTCGTCGTACCCCCCCCCCCCCCCCCCCCCCCCGGTTCCAAGCTGTCAGATTTGGCCTGGAGGAAGGGGTAAATCTCAATTTCTTTTTTATCTATTTTAGGTTTTTGGCCACGCACTTTGTCTGCCCCATTCCCACAGCCAGAAACAGCCACCCCAGGCCTATTCTTCTGCTGACATTTCTTCTTTCTCTTGCAGATAAGCTATCTACCCCATCTCCCAGGGCCTGAGAGCTGCAAACATTCCTGCTTTTGTAGCAAAATCTCCGGCTGACCTGTATCTACTAAATAACAAAAGGTTAAATTACAAAAGGGGCTATTTGCATGTAGCCCTTGTGTCAACAGCCCTGGTGCGATACCCATCGGGCTGCTGGTACCCATCTTCCATCACTGGGTGCCAGAAAACAGGCCAGCCATGAAAGTACAGCCATCCCAGGCTTGGCTTCTCTTGGAAACCAAGCCCTGCTCCAGCCAGGAAAGCATGCTCAGGGCTTTGCCTAGAAGGATGCTGAGAGCTCCAGGCTGGATGGGATCAGTGCAGGCATGTCCTCACCCCTTCCAGAGCCACAGCTGCAGCTGGGCACAGCCCTGTAGCCTGTCCCTGTTACTGGGATCATTCACGGTGAGCTGGAAAGTCCCCACAAGATGCTTTGGGGACCCCCACCAGCTTTCTGCCTTTCTCTTGAGATCAAAGGGTGATGGAGCATCCCTAAGCACTCAATGCTGCACTGTCTCCTAATGGAGACACTTCCCAGATTTCGCCTGGAAGGGGCTGAGGAGGAATTCATCCGCAGGACCTCCCCTTGCATCCATGAATTTCAATTAAGGAAGGCAAATTTATCCTTTCCTAAGGGAAAATAAAAGTATTCCCCTTCAGACAGATCCACTGAGCATGCCTGCTATCTGGGGAATCGGATCACCAGACACATCCACCCTCCCAGCTGGGTTTTACTTTGGAGGAGGCTGAGTATCCCTGCATGGTTTCCCCCTGTCTCCATCATCCCTCAAGCCTCTGGTCCTCCCTGGCATGTTAGCTTGCTGTCTTCCAGCCTCTCCTCTCCGCAGGGACCAGAGGCCTCAGAGATGGCTCCACAGGGGAACCCACCACATCCCTGAAATCCAAATCCCCATGAGCCCGGTTTGCCAGATCATTTAGCCCCATAGCTGCCCGGCAGAGAGATGGGAGATAAAAGACCCTGGAAAGCCCTCTGGAATTGGGCCTCCTTGCAAAGGAAAGGCTTCTCTTCAGTAATGACTTGTTTTCTTTGAAAGTTCAAACATGGGTCGGCCAAGTTTTAAACCGTCAAATTAGAGTGAGAGAAGGAGGAAGGCTCCAAAAGATCTCCCAGCTGGTTTCCAGCCCCAAAAGGATGTTTTGGGAGCTGGGAAGCGGAGGGAAGAGATAGGAGGTCATAGGCACACCCCACTTGAATCCCGAAAAGGGGCTGGTGGGTGGCGTACCCAGCCAAAGGGATGTTCGAGTAGGTCTTGCGTAAACAACATCCTCTTGCTGGGCTGGGTAGCAAGCAGGTGGGAGGATTTGGGTGCTAAAGCAAGAGAAAGGCAGACAAAGGGAGCGTCCTCGGGGATAATTCCCAGCAGGCTGGACGGATATCCTCTTGCCAAGGGGAAAGATTATTTTAGGCGGAAATATTACTTCTGCCCTTAAATGGAAAAGGAGCTTCAAACCCGCAAGGAGCTGCTCCAGGCGCTGCTGTGCCGAGACATCCCAGGGGCTCTGCCTCCATCCTCAACCCTGAACACTCCCAGGGCAAAATACTGCCTTTGAGGGGGGGGGGAAAAGCCTCACTAGGTGTGTGCTCTTCCATAGGGAAAAATGACCCCTCCAAGAGGGGGTCCAAATGCTCTTGGTGGAGCATTTCTCCATCTCTCTTTTGTTACAATTTGGGGTGAAACCAAAGGTTTCTGCCAGGTAAGAAGTGCCAGTGCTTGCTCCAGGAAACCTCTGGCCATGGGTGCTGGACCTTGCAGGCAGCCACCACCTTGATGTCTTTCAGTGGGGATGACGACTGTGGGACTACACCAAGTCCACTTTCCATGGCCCTCCTCCTGCCACTGTGTCCCACAGCTCCCAGGTTTGCCAGGGCCACTGAATCCCAATTCCACTGCCTCACTCCTGGTTTGTCCCTTCCTGGTTCTTACTGTCAGTAAGACAGCAAAGTCTTTTCCTAGCTTCTGCTGCTCTCCTCTCTTCTTAGGAAGCCATCTCCATCCTGCTTTTGGCGTGTCCCTCTCACCTCTGCGTTGCACCATCACCTTCTGATGTCCCCAAACACCATGTCCTGTCTGGGATCAATCTAAGGGATACTGGAGAGGCCACAAGCCAGGTTTGTCTCCCACAGCTAAGGAGGCACCAGGGAGTAATTTGCCTGCCTTGGACCTCCATCGGGTGACAGAATGATTTGGGTTGGAAAGGACCTTAAAGCTCATCCAGTTCCATCCCCATGTCATGGGCAGTGACACCTTCCACTAGACCGGGTTGCTCCAAGCCTCATCCAACCCGACCATCCCATGGGACGCTGGGGGCTGACCAGCATGGTCACGCACCCCTGCCCCTGCACAAACCACCCCTAGTAAACGTTAACAGGCTGGGGGCCATCAGGGAGAGGCGGAAGGTGTCTGGGTGATTCATTCACAAGGCATTTAATGGCCTCCTTCATGCCCAGCTCCCCATCCACCACACTTCAGTGGGGGCTCGCTTTAATTCTCTACCAGCCGATTAACTGCTTGACTGCCCCAGTGGTAGCAGGAACACTGCGATCAAGCCATAAAACAGGGCAAGCAGAGCTTCCTCCCCTTCTCCCTGGCAAAGTGGGGTGCTGCCTCCCACGTGGTGGGGTGAATTCCAGCCCCACAGGGATTAATCCCTGCATAAATAGTCTCTCTGGTAATGGAGTGTCCTCCTCTTTGGCTGGGTTTAGATTCTTGGGCTGCGTGTACACATGCCATCAACCCGCAAAATTCCCTGACATAAACAAGGGGATGCTGGCTCCTGTGCTGCTGGGATGCAGGAGGAAGGGGCTCAGCCTTCAGTCCTGCCACCCGCAGCCACTTCTCCAGATCAGTAGCCAAATGTCCGGTGGGATAATGGGAGGAACGGAGCAGCCCTCTGGGAAGAGCCAGTCCGGAGCTGCTGGGGCTGGAACGAGGAAGCGGCAGAGGAAGAAAAGCCAGCGAGAAGCCAAGGGAGCAAATGGGGGATTGCAACAGAGCAGAGGAGTGAGCAGCAGGCACTGGGGGGGTTCATGCACGGTTGTGTCTGGCTAAAAACCCTCCAGACCCTGTGCTTAGAGGAGGAAAGGAATCAGGAGCATGGGGGAGGTGCAGCACTGGGACAAACCTCATCCACTTGCTGGGTACCCCCCCCCCCAAAACCACCCCTGGGGTCTCCTCTCCATGCCCTGGTTCCCTGGGATGAAGGATCTGGATGGGGACAAGGGCCACAAGCTGGGCTCTCTTGAGCTGCTCTGCTACCAAATAAGGCCTCTGCTGAGCCTTTTACATGCCGTCCTTGCCTGGCTGGAGTGACGGGACCTCCTTCCCAAATTTTTCTCCCTCCCCTCCAGGCTCCTCTGTGGGCACTCCCACCCCTGGTCCCACAGCTCCCCCAAACCTGGGGATCCCTTTTCTGGGGGAAGGGGATAGGGATGGGGTGAGCACGCTGGGCAGTAGGACTCTGGCCAGCCCAGGGAGGAGTGAGGGCAGAGCAGAGGCTTGTCTCACCCAGCAGCACCCTGACTGACCTCCCCATGATGCTTCTCCCTCTTTTGTTTTTAGGGGGACATGGCTGGAAGCCCCAGGGAAGGGGGAGGTAGGGCACAGTAGTTGGGCAACCCCCTTCACCTGAGCTTAAGCAAATATTTGACAGCACCGGCTCTTCCAGCCGAGGCTGGGAAAAACTTGTGCAGGGAAAAATACCTGCCTGGCTCTGGAGGAGTCTGGTTTGCAAACAGGAGCAGCCATCACCCTCCTAACATGTTCCCAGTACAATAGGAGACTCTGGCACCTCGCAGGGACTCCTCATGTTCAGCATCCCCCTGGTCAGGGGGTCTCCAAGGGCCAGCAGTGCCATGGCCAGCCCCTCGCCCCCCTTGGGTCCAGCTGGGAGCAGGGTGCTGGGAAAGGCAACAGGCCTTAATGGACTTCTCCCACCGGCGTTCCCTTTGCGAGCCACATCATCACCATCACCTGCAAGGATCTGGTGAGGCCACCAGTGGAGAAATTCCCCCTTATTGGAGCACTTTGGGAAACTTTGGTAAGCTTCAGGCTGGAAAATCAAAAACCCTGAGGTAGGCGAGAGCAGGGGAGCAGAGCATCCCCATGTGCCCATCAGTCAGAGACCCCATCGAAAAGTGACGTGCCGGAACAGACGGTGGGGCGAAAGGTGAGGAGGAGATCCTATCTACCTGCTCTCACCCTCCCAAAGTCCAAATTCCCATCTCAAGGTCACGGGTAAAACCAGGAACTCCACGCTTGCAGAGTCTGTGTGGGGTTTGCCTCCCGTGGGGATGAGGGCGGGGGTACATCTTTGGGGTGAGACCCTCGGGCTGAGAGATGCGGACATGCATGGTACCCACTACCGGTCACCTCAAACACCGGCCCTGGGGAGGGGGTGGAGGCTGCTTGGGCACCCGCCCCACCCCGGGGTGCTGCGAGGCTCCGCGGGGAGGCAGAAGGGTGTTTGCAAGGGGATGCGGGGCTGTCCCGGGGACCGGGGGATGCGCTGCCCGCAGTTCTCTGTGCCCCATCTCCAGCAGCAGTCCCGGGACCGACAGGACACCCCCGGCGTAGGGGAGCTGCGGGTGGGGAGGGGGATGCTGGACCCCCCGAACCCCACATCCCCTCCTTCCCCCGGTACCTCCTCCTCGGGCAGGCCGGTGTCGGCGGGGCCGCCCTCCCGGTCGGCGGGGAGGTTGCTCATGCTGCGCTCGGGGCCAGGCGCGTTGTCCCGCCGGCGGCAGCCGCGTCCCGGGCGGGCGGTGCTGAAGGCTGGAGGCTGCGGTGGAGGGCGCGGGGGGAACCGGGGCGGGGCCGGGGGAGGGACTGGGAGGAGGGGGAGGGAGGTTCCGGGGGGAACTGGAGGCGGGGGGGAGGGATGGGGGCACGGGGATAGGAGGGTCGGGAGGGTGAATGAGGCAGGTCTGGGACACGGGGCAGAAGGCTGGGAAGATGGGACACGGGTTTGGGGATACAGGACAGAAGGCTGGGAAGTTGCGACACAGGGCTAGGAACACTGGGCACAGGGTTAGGAATACAGGGCAAGAGGCTGGAGACACAGGATGCGGCTGGTAAGATGGCACGCAGGGTTGGGGATACAGGACAGGAATCTGGGTCATGGGCCTGGGAACGCGGGACACAGGGCTGGGGACGTGCGGCAGTCCAGTCATAGGACTGGGGATGTAGGACACAAGGATGGGAACATAGGACACAGTCCTGGGGACACAGGGCACACTCCCAGGGTCACGGCTGCAGCAGGGCTGTGGGGCAGAGGAGGGGACAGTGCTGGGGACACAGGGCATGGATGGAGGAACACACGGGGGCAGGGCTGGCTGTGGGGCTGGCCCTGGGGCTGCGTTTAGGCTCCCACCCCACTCCCCATTTAGGCAGAGCTTCAGGTGAGTTTGCACCCTGCTCACCTTTCTTCTGTCTGACCTTTGGGTCGGTCCCAGCCCTGTCACATCTCCATGGATGGTGTAGCATGATGGAGACCCTCAGGGTGAAAAGCATTGGACCAGCAGCCGTGTCTGAAGAAGATGGGACACAATACATGAGGACCAGAGGTGACACTGAGGACATCCTGCTGATGGCAAAGGGCTTGTACCAAGTAGGTGTTTTAAGATCATGGCAACTCTGGAAAAAACAGATCTGCAGGCCTGTGGGCAGCCTGGATGGATTCAGCCCCACCACTGACCTAGAGCAGAGTGTTTCCAGCCCCCACAGTGGTGATTTACAGAGCAGAACCTCTCATGCTGTGAGGGAAATGGAAATAAGCCATGCCAGCTGGATTTGGGGAGCTGGAAGCATCTGGCTACCAGGGCAGGTGGCCCAGAGAGGGCACCTGAAGTGTGGGGGCTGATCTAGTTGCTTGAATCTGCTGGAGCCTCGTGCTTTTGGGATGAATTCCCAGCAAAGGTTTGCCTTATATTTCAAGCTGGGGGACAAGGGTTCAGCCCTTGTTTGGATTTGGCTTTGGGGAAGAGCTGCACTGTCACAAGTGCTGGACCAAGGACTGGAGCTGCAAAGCCAGTAAACAGTGGGTTTTTATTTTGGGTATTCCTGTAACTGAACTTGGAGCAAATCTGGTGTGTGCTGTCCTGTTTGTGCCTTGGCCTGTCCCACCTAACCCCCCTGGTCCCAAATTAGCACCCCATGTCTTGCAGCCCAGCTGGCACTTGGGATTCCTCTGCAGGTGGCTGCTGATGCTCTCTCCACTCTCCTTCCTACAGATTTCTGCTCCAACATTAATTTCCTTCTGCACCAAGACACAACATCGGGCAATGTTGTACACGGTCAGAGGGGGAAGGTGTGAGTAATATTCCTGGTACATCTCAGGGGCTGGATGGGAAGCATGGATGTGTCCAAAGCTCAGCTGATGAGTGGAGGAGCTTCCGCTCCATTGTGGACCCTCTAGGAGGGAAGCTGAGTAGGTGCCTTTGAAGACCAGGGAGAGGTCTGGAGCCTTTCCCCATCCAAAATCCGCATGGATTGGTGAAGCAGGACAAGAAAATCCCTTCCTCCAAGCAGCCCTGCTCTCCCCTGGTGTGGGTCCATCTCCCTCTGCCGGCAGCCAGGGAAGAGAAGAGCAGGGAGACAGCACCTGGGCTGTCCTCAAGGGATCATAGGATCACAGAATGGTTTGAGCTGGAAAGGACCTTAATCTCATCCAGTTCCAAATCCCCTGCCGTGGGCAGGGATGCCTCACACTAAACCATGTTGCCCAAGGCTCTGTCCAACCTGGCCTTGAACACTGCCAGGGATGGAGCATTCACCACTTCTTTGGGCAACCTGTGCCAGTGCCTCACCACCCTCACAGTAAAAACCTTCTTCCTTAGATCTAACCTGAACTTCCCCTGTTTCAGTTTGAACCCATCACCCCTTATCGCTACAGTCCCTCTCCAGCATCCTTGTAGGAAATAGGATGGTGGCAATGGCAGTTCAGCACCTGACCCAGGCAGGACGGCAGTCTCTCCCTTGACAGAAGAGCAGGTAGCATTTTATTCCCAAAACCAAAAATGTACAATTGAGTTAGTGCATGAGAGACAACTGATCCACAGCAGACTCGAGGTGCTGGGCAGAATATAAATGACAGACACAATCAAGATGGTATTAGATTTTTTTCCCAAATATGGAATGGTCAGCCACTTCCTAGAGCTGGGGAGTACTTCCCAGGACCAGATGAAACCCCTTCTCATCAGCCACCAGCAGCAGAAGATGCTCAGCTCTTGACAGGAGTGGATGTAGCCTTCACGGTCTTCTTTAGGTGATGGTAGTTTGGCAAGATCTTCATCAGGAAATCCAGCTGCAGTGTCTGGGGCTGGGAGCAGAGGCAGGGTGAGGGCAGCTCTCAGAGGATGCAACAGGGATGGTGTCACCCATGCGTCACACTCACCTGTGGCCGCTCGGTCTGGACACGGCGGAGGCAGTCAGCCCCATAGATGACAGTGTTTTCAGGGATCACCTCGTAGGTGTTGATGTTACAGCAGGCCCCGATGATGCAGCCGCTTGTCAGGATCACGTTCCTGCCAACAAATGCTGCCAGGGAGAGGAATCATTGTGAGAGTCATGCCCATGGTGTGGATATACCCTGCACTACCCAACATCAATACCATGAGCTGTTCAGCACCAGGAGGCAGACCCAGCCCAGGCTGGTCCCACCAAGGCCAGTCACACACTGGGCTTTTGTGTGGAAATCACAGCATTGTCAACAGCCTCACCTACAGCAAGAAACCACCTCTACTGTTCCCAGCTTCTACAAAATCTCACAAGATGATGAGCCAAGACTTACCTTTGGATTCAATGACATTGTTATCTCCTACCTTCATTGCTTGGGAATCTACGGGTCCATGTTAAAGAAAACTGCAGAATGTTCTGCTTTTATTTCCAAAGGTAAACCCTGGTGCCATTTTCAAACCAACAACCTGCAATAAACAGCCCTGTGCTGCCTGAACCACAAGAGAGCCCATACCTTTCCCCTCATACTGATCCACAAGTGCGGTGTATCACACATTCGATCTCACAGCACAGCAAGGATACAACACCCAACTTCAAAAACATTGTTGGTGCCGATGACCATGGGTTTGGGCTCCACCTCTTCAGTTTCTGGAGTAATATTTTCTGGATACCTGCAAGATGGGAGAATATATTTCAAGTTTTGAGATCACAAAGGTATTGTAATGTTTGGCAGCTTGATTTTGAGAAACATCGTGTGTATTATGCCCCGTCCCTGGCAGTGTTCAAAGCCAGACCAGACCGGACTTGGAGCAACCTGACCTAGTGGAAGGTGTCCCTGCCCATGGCAGGGGGGTTGAACTGGATGATCTTTAAAGTCCCTTCCATCCTAAACCAGTCTGGGATTCTGTGATTCTGTCCCATCCAGCTAGAGCGGTGGGGTTTGGAGATGGCTTGCTCTTGCACAGGGTCTCTCATTGTCAGGACAGGATTGCTGTCCTCAGGGAATATCTCAGGGAACACCAACTATCTGCAAAGCCCAAGCTGGGAACATGACCAAGGGATCCCAAACACATCCTCTCCTCATCCAGTTTGGAGCTGGGGGTCAGTGTTCCCAAAAAAGGAGCGTTTCCTCCCAAAAATGAGGTGACCCCGTGGGTGTTGTCCAGCTCCGTACTGACCCATTGACGATGAGGGCCTGCTCCTCGATCAGGTTGCCTTCCCCGATGATAATAGGTCCTGCTTCGGCGATGATCCTGGCCTTGGGGTGGATCACCGTCCTGGGCCCTGCCGGGAACAAGCCGAGGTCACCCCTCGTCCAGCCCCGCCGCAGCACTCGGGCAGCGGAGAGGCCTGATGCCTTACCGACAGTCACGTCGCCGCGGATCTCGCTTTCCACGCACACCACGGCCCCCGGCGCGATCTTGACGCTGGGGGAACGGACAGGGCTCAGTAAGGTGAACCGGAGAGGGGCGGGCAGCCCCGCCACGTCCCGGGGAGGGGGTGTGTCTGGGGACACTCACCTCTTTTGCACCTTCTCCGCCATGACGGCCGCCTGTGCCTGCGCGGGGCCTGTGCGGGGGTTCGGGGCCGCGCACCTTGGCCTTACGCTCACGCAGGGGTCCCCCCCGGGCCGTTCTTCGCACCCCGCGCGACCCCGCTTCACCCACGGCGATTCAAAGGCAACCGGACTTCAGGCGCGTGCCCACGGCCTGTACCGGCGCTGGGCTGGAAGTGCGGGGCGGGGCGGGGCGGGGGGTGGCGCCGGGACAGCGCGGAATTAACCTGGGAGGGCCGGAGCACGCCGCCCCTCGCCCGAGCCACACGCGGCCACCCGGGGCGGGGTGTGGCCCGCGGGTCCCCCGCCCAGTTTCCGAGCACCGCCGGGGCTCCCGGTGCCGTCCCGCAGCACACAGGGGTC